CAAATTTTTCCTTTTCCTTCAAGCTTTTCTGATGCAATACTTTAGAATAATGTTGATGGAAACGCAACCAATTACACGTGGGTCCCCCCCTACTGGCCCCGCTCCCACTTTGGGAACCACTGGGCAAACAAAACCTACATAAAAGTGCAGCTCTGAAAGGATAGCAGATAGTAGGAGAGACAAGCCAATCAGAGGTGGCCCCCGAACCGTTCCTGAGCCCCATCTGTAGGAGGAACACAGTGGGAAGCCGGTCTGGTTCCTGCTGGACGGGAAACTAAGGAGTTCAGGCAACAAACACACTGACTGAATCGAACTAGCACCAGGTTGGGGTTTGCAGTCTTGTCCAATAATAGTGCAGAGTAATTAAACACTGAGCGGGACATTGCTTAGTCATGCATGCCCCCCCAGGATTCCACCCTCCATCGGCTGCATAAGGCCATTTTCTGTCGACATAAAAGCTGAAAGGCAGCGACCAGAAGAATAATGTCAAAAATTCATCAACTTAAATCCACAATTCTCTAATAAAACAGACCTGAGGGAGAAAATATCTTCCTCTGCCTCTGAGGAGTATGTATGAATGGATGTAAACATGGAACCTGATTACAACTGGCAGATAAGGTGGGAAAATAGTAGATATGACAGCATCCATTCATAAAATAAAAACACAGCTTAAAGTTACAACTGTTTATATTGAAACTAGGCTGAATCTATGGGGAGGAATCTAACAGTGAACCAGTTAGTTTGCTGGTAAGGTTGGTTAACCTGTTATTCAACAAACGAATGTAAGAATGATGAGTGCTGGCAGCAAACTGGCTTTTCATGTGAATTAAAATAATAATAAAGCACTGGCAGCCAGGAGTGACTTGCAAAATTCACACATCAAAAGGTTTTATAGCTGAACAGTTTATGATGCCGCCCATCACAAAGGGCACATCACTAAAATCAAGCAGTAAAACGGAGATGAAAAGGTGTTTAAAAGAGGAAAGCATTATTGGTCAGTTACACAACGAAGTATCCATAAATAAAAAAAATAATCTAAAAGATTTTAATCATTTTGATTTTTTTTATACTAAAACATAAAAAAACCACTGATAAAATATAAATAAGCACATTTTCACTATAAAGACAAACCTTGTGAAATACATGAGAAGTTCAAAGAGTTTGACAGGTCCATTTTGGACTAGCTTGTTTGGCGGATAGCATTGCATTTCCTGTAGCTGTTAACTCCAAACATTGAGTTTAAGTCTAATTAGCTGCTTATAACTGCGGTCTGGATGTTTGTACCAGTCTTGGTGGTTGATTAAATTAGCTGTCAGCTCCGCAGCCAGAACTAGGAACTAGGTAGAGTCTAGCTAGTCACTGCCCCGGCATGCTGCTAGCGGACTGAAGCTAACCTAGCCTGTTAGCTCCCTCACTGGCCACCGTTCATATGCGACAGAAGCGCTTGTTTTGGCGAGTTGGAGAAAGAAAACCAACACGACAGGAGTGGGACAAAATGCCTCCAACCTACCGGTGTCCATGTTTCCAAGAAGCTCGTGAATCGGTGGCTATAGTCCCAAAAAGTGGCCGGCTCTTTGTTTATTTCATTCACAGGCGGAGAGTCGGTGTGTTCACGGGGTGCGCTCGTTTGTGCGCACGGGTTCGATTTTTGACGTGGCGTTTGGGCGGGGTTAGGGAAAATTCATTCCTAAACCTGAAGAGTCTTCTTTGGAAGTCCATTTCTACGGAAGGGGATTAAGGCCACTGAAAAAAATTGAAAAACAAAAATTTAAAAAACTTATTTTTTTTATTTATTTCAGTATAACATGAGAAAAAAAGTCAGAATTCTGACTTAAATCTCACAATTCCGACTTTAATCTCACAATTCTAAATTAATTCTGACAGCTAACAACCATGTTAGCATGTAGCCATGTCTGTTTTAGAGACGAGCTCTCTTGTTTTAATCCCCTTCTGCTCCTTTCATTAATGAAATGGCATCACCGGAAACCCCTCAGGGTCTGTCATTTTCTATCAATGTGTCACTGTTCCTCCCAAACAACTCACATCTTTGCCAGTGAAACTTAGTGCTTCCACATCTCTTCCTTCATGGTGCCCATCTACATTAAGATCCATAATTCTGAGATTAAAGTCAGAATTTTGAGATTAAAGTCAAAATTCTGAGATTAAAGTTCAAATCCTGAGAAAAAAGTCCGAATTCTGAGATTAAAGTCCATATTCTGACTTTTTTCCTATATTAAACTGAAATATTATTTAAAAATGAGTTAACTTTTTTTTCCCCCCAGTGGCCCTAATCCTCTTCCATACATTTCTGCCACTCTGTTAAAAAAAGTAAATTATATTATCTCATTATAATGAGCTACTGTCTCAAAATAACTAACACTATCTTATTATTTTTTAGTTACTATCTTATTATAATTAGATAATATCTCATTATTTTGAGTTACTATCTCATTATAATGAGATACTTTCTTTTATGCTTTTACAGAGTGACGGAAATAGGCTTCTTTAGCCTTCTAATGCAACATTTAATATGACGTTACCATTTATATTTTTTAAATAAATAGCTTAAAGGAATAGTACACCCAAAACATGATTAGCCTTCATTTTCTACTCACCCCCATGCTGAACAACACTCTGGAGTACTTTTTTGATATCTCAAATGCATCTGGAGATCTGGGAGGCTTCTTGCTGTCTGCTGACATTCAAATAATGGAGGTCTATGGTGCCCGAGGCAGAAAGGTCCATAAAAGTCCACAAAAAACGTGTCAATATTCCTCCATACTGCTCGTCCAATGTATTCCAAGTGTCCTGAGTGGGTAGCATCCAGAATTTACTCGAAACAAAGTCATTTAGAATGTTTTTAGAGCATAAACAGTAGTGTATAGGAGTTTCTAAAATCACGCGCCTGCGAGTTCACGATTCTACGGAAACCGCGGCAGACCAAACCAGATGAAAGTGCGCATTCAGCGTCTGCTCTGCCAATAATGCAAGCGTAGAAGAAGAAATGTGCTGTTTACCTGTGCAAAGAAAGAAACAACGAAAGAAAAATGTCTGAGGACTTCAGTGTTGAGAAGGAGCATGAGTTCTTTGCCGAGCTGAATGCGCACTTTCATCTGGTTTGGTCTGCCGCGGTTTCCGTAGACTCGTGAACGCGCTTTTAGGAAATCCTATACACTACTGTTTATGCTCTAAAAACATTCTAAATGACTTCGTTTCGAGTAAATTCTGGAAAAAAAATTACTCAAAAGTAGACTCAAAAGTAGACAAAAGTAGTAGTTTGGGAGAAAAAAAATGCATATGGAAGTTCAGAGCATTAATATATATGGTGCAAATATGAAGTATTTTTGGTTTGGTGTTATCAGTGTGATGCAGAGTCTGCAACATGATTTAGAGTTTTTTCAACATTCAGCAGTCTGATGGCGGTGGGAAAGAAGATGGCGGGGTGAGGCTTTATTGATGATGTTACGGGAGCTCGGGACATGCAGCGCTGGGATGAAATATCTTTAATGGAGGGAAGAGGAGCCCCCATGATCCTCTCTGCTGTTCTCACCTTCTTCCAGTCTGAGGCGCTGCAGCCTCTACACCACACAGTGAGACAGCTGCTCAGAACGCTCTCTATGGTGCTTCTGTAGAAGGTGGTGAGGATGGATGGGGGCAGGGGGGGCTCTCCTCATCCTCCGCAGGAAATAAAGGCGATTTAAGGCCGTTTTGACCAGTGAGGTGGTGTTTATAGTCCGGGTGAGGTTTTTCTGTGAAAGGATCTTAGCTGTGTCATTCTCCACCACCTTGAGAGGTGGCTCCTATAGTGACCTGGGGACCTTCAGTTTATATTTTGCACAGATGTTTCTGTACACAGTACCAGCCACTTGGTTATGGCATTCCACGTATTCCTTTACTGTCTGTATTGTTTTAAACTCGGTGGCCTGAGTTTCCTCCTTTGATATGTATAAAACAAAAGCAGAATTGGAAATAAAAATAACTTCCATGCGACGCTTACAAAATCCTGGAAACAAAAGTGTGTCAGAACCTGACAATAAATACTGGGGACACAAAAGCTCGGCCAAAAGACAGAGGAACTGAAAACTCCTGACTCCACAGCAGTGGTATGAACTTCTATAAGAAAAAACAAACCTAAACCTAACTTATAACAATAGTTAGGCAACAGATTTGAATTAAATTTAATAACACTCATTAAACTTTTCTCATAAAAACCTATTTCGCAAATTCATATGACATAAGGTAAATATTTCTCTAGGAAGTAACTCAAAATACCACAAATATAGCTTAAAGCTAAACTTTAAAGAGGTAATATGTAAGAATTACTGCCATCTAGTGGTGAAACGGGGGACATTTTACTCAAACGAACACTACACCCTGGTGTGTAACTGTCTCAAACACGTATTGTGGTAACAGTTGCCACCATGTATCAAAAAGTATCATCAGAAGTGAAGTCTCTAAAAGCTGTTATTTACTGTGACATAAAGCCAGCGTTCACCGTGGCTTTGGAAGCTACTAAACCCTCGTAAGCCTACATATCATTCCCAATGAGATTAGTGTGTTTGCTGGATCTACTGTTAGGTTTTCTATGGGGCATACAATGTGCGATATTTTCAATCGCACAGCTAGAGCTCAAACTGTACGACGAAACCACAGGGTTTAAAAGTTGACAGTTCATGATGTATGTTCTCATACTGTGCGACCCGACGGTCTGATGCGACCTTACGACGGCCGACTGAATTTCAAACATGTTTGATTTTCTCCCGACCGTATGATTCCTGATGGGGAGGTGTCTGATCGCCCCTCGTTCCTCCCTGTACACTACACGACGCATGATTAGGCTGAAAGTCAGCTTGATCGAAAAATTCGAAATGACTGGAGAATTGGCCCAAAAAGGGCAGAAAATCGTACAGTGTATGTCGGCTTACTCTGTCGGGCATACGCTGTAGGATTTCTCTCTCTGAAGTTTTCTATCTTTTTCCATTTATCACAAATGAAGCCTCAGTGTCAGTCTCTGGTGTGAGCAGGTTCCAACACTAAAACTATTATTTTTATTATTAAACCTAAAACTATTATTGGCATTAACAGGCCAGCTGACAGCTTTGTTAGGGTCCGGGACAACACAGTCTTTTTGCCATTTGTAAGAAAGACTTCCTTTTTGCCATTAAACGCACACTCGATCAGAATCAGTCTTTTTTGTTTGTCACAATGCAGGATCATTGAAATTAACGGTTTGATTTGTCCCTGAGCTACTATGCTCAGACTCTCCGATCCAGCAGCAAGCCCTTCCACCTGCACTGTCTCTCTGTAGAGATTGCTTTCTCTGTCTACTCCTCAAACACACGCTCTCCCCGACCTCTGCTGTCTCTCCGCACTTGTCCGCTGGCTAGCGGATGCTGTACTTTAAGATCACATTGATAAATGCATGTCTTCCTTGGCTCTGGATGGGCATCATTCTTTTGCAATTCCGTTCTTTGACTTGTTCCTGACTTATTCCCAGTTTATTTTACTCCTAAAATCCCTCAAGCCTTTGGTGTCATCTTCCCTTTTTCACTTTGTTTTTGTGCGCCAGACTTCTAAAAACCTGACATTCTTACTTTGCTGTAAAACAAACTTTAAAAGTTTTAGCCAGCCATTGTCCTGGTCAAACCATTTTATGTCAGACCAGTCCCTTTTACTGGCATAAATGAAAAGGAATAAGTCTGCTATGAATATCAAAGTTATTTCTTAGTTCAGAGAGCAGATGATAAAGCTCATTGTTTTGTTGTCAATCAGTTGTTACAGCACTGACACCTTGTGGTTACAAGAAAAGTTTTTAGCCAAGAGTTAGGTTTAAATACCAAAAACATTAATCAAACGATCTAGGGAAGAAAAACAAGAGCATTAGATTATTTTTACACAGATATGTATTCAGGTATAATCTCCCACCGCTCTGAAGCACACTCCGCCCAGCTCTCTCTTTTTATTTCATACTGGGAGTCCCAGTTAGATGAAAATTACTGCTCTAAAGGATTGGGGAAGTAGCACTAACGCTATCTAAGTAAACAAGCATAAGCAGTTTCTAAAGGTTCATCCTTGGATCAAAAGCACATCACTATCTTGTGGTTCCAGGAACCGCTCTTTCTGCCTCAAACGCAGACTTGTGGTTTTGGTTCACACTTCTCTATATTTATTAAAACACAGCCCATTTCTCTGGGGTGAGCCAGCAGGTGCAGTTTCACTGCCCCACTTCTGCAAAGACACTCAGCACAGAAATGAGAACAAAGGCCACTCTGGAGTGATTGCATACAACTAGATATTTCAGTATAAAAGTAGAAAAGTTATTAGAAATGAGTAAACATGAGATAAGTTATTAGATAATTTGGCTTGTTATGGGAGTAAGTAT